CTATTTCTCAAGCCTTTCTCCTCATGAAGTCCCTGACATCCCACGATGAAGATTCTGGATTCATCTTAAGGTTCTAATATAACCTCTAGTCTTCCTCATCCAGTGCTGCTTTCCACCCTGCATACCCCTCTCACCACTGCAGCATCCTAAAATACACTAATTTCATAAAAACATTTAATCCCACAGACCTCCAAAATGTCTATATTATGTCTAAAGCAAGTGAGAGAAAGATACTGTGAAAAACATACATGCTGCTATAAGACAGAAGAGATAGGCAAAGGAGTAAGACAGGCATGAGGGGTAGGGAAGTGATAGTGCTGAATAGTGGTAACAAGAGAAGATTGTACAGGCTGTACAAAGGGATAGCTACATGGAGCAGGACATTAGATTTTATAAATTGTATTGCTAATGCCATATGTATTTAAAAATAAGAGTATGAAACAATACCACTTATTTAACAAACATAGTGTCTGCTTTGTGCCAGGCACTCTTCTAAGTACTCTAGAAATATTAACCGATTTAATCCTCCTAATAATTCCAGTGAGATAGATATACTATTTCATATGATAGAAGAAGTCAGTTAGGCAAAGAGAATAAATTGCTCATGGTTACAGTATCATTCAGTATCCAGCCAGGAAAAGAAAAACAGTTTGGGTATTTCAGAGGGAATGTTATTACCTCTCATTGAGGATATCCTTACAGACAGGTTGGAGGAGTAAAAGGTTGGCAGTATTGTTATCCAGAGGTAACTGTAAGAACAGCTACCATCATAGCACTGGGGTCACAAAAGAGTAAGTGGTGTTATCCAAAACACACAACTGCTGTGCTTCTGAGGCTTTTGGAACATAACTGTTGAATGATTAAAACTACCTTTGCTCGCTGCTTCTCAGGAAGCCAGCTGAGTTCAGTCGCCCCGCCCCCAGCTCCTGGAGTAGAGAAGCACAGTGCTGCTGAGGCTACTGGAGTCTGAAGAAGAAAATCACTTCTATCCTCCTCTTGCATTTTGATCTCCCATTAGCAGAACTGAATGTGACACCAAGGGACAAGTGAGTCTGAGGGAAAAAAAAAAATTTTTTTTTAAGAATTCCAGTACTCTTGCAGTACAGAGGAGAGAGGAGGAGACAGGAGCTGAAAGACAGCAGATAAATAACCAGCATAGTCTAACAACTGGAGAGTGCAGTTTAATTCTCAAACACTTGGCTCCTGAGACCATGCTCTTAACTACTATGGACAATGCTATGACACTATGATATACTATAACAAGAGTATTTTATACATTTAAAAATTAATGCCTGATCATAAATTTGGGTTAGCAGAAAAAAAATTGTAAAAATTATTATTCGTTGAATATTCTGCAAATATTTAGCAAGTTCCTAATTTGTGCCAAGCACTGTTCTACTGGAAGTACAATAATGGGGAGATTAAACAATAGAAGAGATCTCTCTTCTGTTTCGGACTGAACAAAATTGCCTGGGAAGGGTTCAAATTGGCTTGGCTTGAATCATGTACCCACACACTGAACTCCATTGTAGCCGAGGAATGGGTATGTGGAAATAACCTAGTGGAAGTGCCCACTATAATCCTGAGACACGGATTTGAGTGTAGGTGGTTTATCTGGAGAATTCAGGAAACACCTGTTGGGAGATGGGGAAGTAAAACAAAGAAGGGAAAGCAGTAAATAAAGGATGCCTTACCAAGCCAGCTACCATTGGAATGACTGAAGCACAATTCTGCTGGAAAACTTAGGGAAATGGTATGAAATATATGCCTTGAAGTTATCCCATGTGAGGGGAAAAAAAGCCAGGTTACCTGTAGAATATTGGATAAGGGGTGCTGAGATGGGATGTTGAGGATTCTCAAGCTCTTCCAATTTGCCCTAACACTGTTACAGGATTTTCTTCCACCCTTGGGACAAAGACCTCGGGCAAAGGGATGCAGATACTGGCAGCTGAAAACCTGCCCCAGAATTTTAAAGTGGTAAAAGCCAGAGAGGTATAGGCAGGTATCTGCAGGGCCTACTATTTATTTATCAGATAAAAATTTCTCCTGCAGAGTTGTTATGATTTCCAAATACTTCATGCTTGTGAAAGTTTTATAAAGTAGAAAGTATAATACAAACAGTTATTGTTTAAATGTTTCTTGAAGGCAGGGAATGTGTATCATGTTTTATATCTCTCAGAGGACATAGTAAGTACAGTGCTATACATATGTCATTGACTCAAATATATACTGAGTGAATTTGTCAATTTGATTAATACCTGAATATATTTTCTAGGTTTACAAAGGTGGAATTATTTTTAAACTTTTCATTAAAATCAATAACTCATTTCTGCTAACTTCTGAAAGAATTTTTATCTGTTTTAAGAGTGTTAAGTAGCATAGTCTTGTTCTATTCCTTCTATCATATTAAATCTAGACCATTGTAGATAACTATTAATTGCTTACCCAACAATCATTCTCTCCCTTATTACTATAAAAAATACCTTTATTAGGAATAAGTTATTGATAGATTATTGCTGTTTCAAACCAGTTGTTAGAATGCTATTCTGAGTAGCATGAGGAAAAAGCAGGAAAATCATAGATGCCAATCTTGACATTGTTGAACTACAGAAGCAATACTGGGAGCCATCTTCCCCCAGCTTCTCATTATGTCAGAAAAATAAACTCCTAATAAAACTGTTAAACAGGTATTCTGTTCTAGCAGTCAGTGATTCATAACTTTTTAAATAGCATCTTTTCTTTTTTGCATAGCAATACCAAGACAAGTCATTTTACTTTAATAGTAAATTATTTAAGATAGTAAATCATCAGAAAACCCAGACAAACAATAAGTGTTTGGCCACACTAGTTTTAATCCTTCTGAATTTACCTCTGAGGAAAAAGGTCACAGTATTTCCCACAGCTCCCTATCTGTGCTCTCCCCTTCAATATTCACTTTGATATTTTAAAACATCTAAAGAAGCTTAGTAGGGCTCTATCACTAAAAAACTTGCAATGAGATGATGATCTTTCAGATACAAGTTATTTGAACCTCTCTACTACCCTTTGGTCTCCCTTCTGAGAGATGACCACAACCCTGAAGTTGAAGTGTAGCATCCTGTTCATATGTTCTCATTTTTACCAGTTGAGAAAATATATCCATAAACAAGGTAGTATTATTGTTTTAATACTTTAAGCCAACATTATCTAATGTAAATATGTCAGCCATGTGTGTAGTTTTAAATGTTCTAGTAGCCACATTAAAAAAAAGAAACATTTATTTTAATGCTATATTTAATCCAAGATATCCAAAATATTATCACTTCAACATGTAATGATAAAAAATTCTTAATAAGCTATGCAATATTCTGCTTTCTTAAAATTTCTGCTACTAAGTCTTTGAAATCCCACGAGTAGTTTATACTTACAGCACATCTCAATTCCAATGCTGAATTTAGATTTCATAAAGTTTAAGTTGAAAAATATAGAGTCATATATTCAGGTTTGTTCCAAACATACTTAAAAGTTTTTCAATAACTGAAATCAGTTTTTAAAATGTAAAATAATTAACTTTAAATTAACAATTCCATTTTTCAGCCCCAGTAACCTTATTTCAAGTGTTCAATAACCACATATGGCTAGCCGACACCCTATTGGACAGTGCAGATTGAAATTATAACACAAAATACTTACCATTTCCCATCTTTTGACTACTCAATGTATGTAATATTTTAATTCTTTTGTTTTCCTTTGCCATATCCTATAACAGATGTGCACAGACGGAATGGATGACTTTGAAGTTCACGGCAGATGACATTTTACATTTTAAAAAAATCATCGATCACTAAATTTACTCAGGAAGTCTAAATGAACTCAAAAAAACTTAATTGCCTTGTATTTTAGTCTAATGAATGGATTGTTAAACAAGGTATATATCTACTGCTAACGACATACTGTAACTAACCAAGGTGCAGATTTCATAGTAGCTGCTCCCATCCTACCCCGCCCTCCACAAGCACGCGCGTACATGCACGCGCGCACGCACATCCAGGTACAAAACGCACACGCACAGCCACACGTGAGTGTGATACGCGGTTTATTTCTTCCCTCTGTAAGTGTCTGAGGAGCACTCAAGCTATCTTGGTCTTGGTAGGGTTTCACGTCTCCTTTTAAAAGATATTATACTGCGCCCTCTCCAGGTCCATTCCAGGAGAAAAAAAGGTTGGGGTTGGCGGTGAAAAGAGGGCCTGTTAGAGTCTACTAATCAGTAGCTCCACCTCAAGAAGCGGCAGTATTTGTAAACATCAGAATAAAACAAATCCCTGCAGGAACATGTAAAAGATTTCGAAAAGACCTCCAGCCGAAGCATTAGTGAAACTGTCACCGTGCGGTGGTCGGGATGGGCGTTTTCCCCTAAGCAGGAGCTCTTAAGTTGCGTCACTGCAACCCTTCAGTCGCGATGTTAAGCTGCAGGTCCTCCAGGACCCGAGAAGCACCAGGTAGTAGTTCTTGTTTTCGGTTTCCCACAAAAGCGTGGTCACACCAAAAACTCTCTCATCACAGATATGATAACCGCCCCAAAACTTTTCCAGCACCCTCACTACACCCCCTTCCTCCGCCGCCCTTGTTTTGCGCTCCGCTTCGGGAGTTGAGTAACCTAGTCCTCTAGAATGCCAGCTCTGCAAAATTCCAGGAGCTAAACACCAACCAACCAACCTCCCGAGAGAGATTAGAAACAAGAAAACACAGCAAACCCCAACAACACGCCCCTGTTCCTCCCGAGCTCTAGGGGGCGGGGGGAAAGACCGATCTGTCGCCGCGCAGCATGCTGGGATGAGTAGTTCCTTCAACCCTCGAAGGCGCGGGATCAGGACGGAGCTCAGGCTGACTCTCCAAAAGAGTACTACAATTCCCGTTGTGCCTTGCGGCAGAATAGAAGGGGCGGGACGAGAGAGGGCGCGTCGCGCCTGCGCAGTTTGAGGGGGTGGGGATAGGCGGAGACGCGTCCGTCCAACTGCAGAAGACTCTCCATGTGACAGAGAGCGGGGTTCCAGCTCCAGGCGCCGCCCGACTCTGAATACAGATCCCAAGCACTGTCCACTGTCCCGGAGCCAACAGACGCCAGCTCGCGGGGAACGCTTGGTGTTTGGGTGTACCTCCATAGGACCTGAGGTGTGGAGTGAACTGCTGACTCCAGGGCAGGTGCCCGAGGGACCCCGCCGAGACCTCGAGATCTCCAGAGAGAGAGGAGCAGCGAGGCGAGATTTCTGTCAGCGCCCGCGCCCCCGAGCGCGGAATCATGAACGGCTTCACGCCAGAGGAGATGAGCCGGGGAGGGGATGCGGCCGCTGCAGTGGCCGCCGTGGTCGCCGCCGCCGCCGCCGCCGCTGCAGCTTCGGCTGGGAACGGAGCCGGGGCGGGAGCAGGAACTGAGATGCCCGGCGCCGGAGCAGTCTCGGCGGCTGGACCACCAGGAGCAGCTGGGCCGGGCCCAGGGCAACTGTGCTGTCTGCGGGAGGACGGTGAGCGGTGCGGCCGGGCGGCAGGCAACGCGAGCTTCAGCAAGAGGATCCAGAAGAGCATCTCCCAGAAGAAGGTGAAGATCGAACTGGATAAGAGCGTAAGTGACGGCGGGACGGCTCTGCTCTGCCCGTCCCCTTGGGGCCCCGGGAGCTGTGCAAACAGGGGTTGTTGGGTCAGGGGTTCAGAGCTCCCCGAGACCTGGCTGCAATGCAGACCCGTTGAGCAGTCTCTGGCAGAAAGCAAAAAACCAAGTAGCAGCAACTCAGAGTGCCTCTCCCAAGGGACACACACTTGCACGTTGTGCTTCCCCTCCCCTTCAATCCCCCGCCCCCCGCGTCCTTCCCGCTCCCTGTCTTCTCCCTTCCCCCTCCACGTAGATGAGGAAACGAAACAAAGGGAACGAGCTCACGGAGGGAGGGCCTGGAGTAGTTTTCTTGTTGCCCGGCAGCTTCTCCTGGAATGGAGGCTCCTTCTTTGTTTTGCTGCCCAAGCTGGCGTTTGGCCCCAGGAAGTAGCTTCCCGTGTCTAGGGAAAGTGGAATCCTGAGTCCTGCAAGGACCTGACGCCTCAGTCAAGAAAGATCCTGTCCCTCGCTCCCCGGTGTGGGGGTGAGAGGAAAGCCGAGCTCCCACCGTGCCTTGCTGGGAGCCGGGGTGTGGACGGTGGCGGCGGTGTCAGCTTTTAGGGCAGCTGCTCCGAACGCGGGGAGCACACGGTCAGTGCGGCTTTGCCAGCCGTTTGGCAGCCATCAGGATTTCTTTTTCCGTCCTTTTGCACGTGTGCTCTTTTGACCATCTATGAGACTTTTAGAAAACAACCATTGCCATTTTCTTGAGCTCTGGCAAGAGTAAATTAATAACAAGATGTCAGAACCTAGCACAGGTCCTGCTTATTTTTAACTTGCACTTAGCTTAAAAGTTCAATTAAAAGCTTATTAGCTCAGTCCTTACTTTGTTTGTTTGTTTGTTTTAAAGACGTAACTGTTACTATATAAAGCCCAGTATTTCAGATGTTGCTATACAGCTCTCAAGACTATATATAATTAACATTTTGGAAAGTTGGTAATCCTTTCTGCTTTTTTAAACAGTTCTTCATTTATATTCGTGAGAAACTTTTTAGGTAGACTTAAATAATTTTACATTGCTTTGGTTGGAAAACACAAATATATTTAATGCTCAGAAAACTTTAAAATTCCAAATTTAAATATAGTTAGGGAATGAAAATCAATAGCTCATTTGTAAAAACGAATAGTTCTGTATCTGGATTATAATTTGAGTATTAAATTAGGAAGTATATTTTATGCTATTAACATATGCTCTTTAAATAGAGAAAATACTATGAAATAGCAAAAATGTGGGCAGCATCACCATTCCCCTTGTTAGCTAAACAGCATGACCTAACTCATCTAGTTCACCCTTACTGCAATTTGATGACAAAATCTAGAGGGTTGGAATTTCTCTTTCTCCTCTGCCTCCCTCCCCTTATTCTCACCCCTCCCCCACCCCACTTCCCAATCCTCTTAACAGTATTGCCAGACATTGGATGTTTTAAGTGTGTGCAGGACTTTAGAAAAAGCATGCCCTTGCCCTAACAATGCCCTGTTTTGACTGTTTTTTCTTTTTTTTTAATGATTAACTGTGGCCTATGTATTTTACCAATACATAGACACATTTTAATGCAATCCTAAGTGGTCTGTGAAACTTTTCTGTTTCAGGTAAGGCATCTTTACATCTGTGATTATCATAAAAACTTAATTCAGAGTGTTCGGAACAGAAGAAAGAGGAAAGGGAGTGATGATGATGGAGGAGATTCGCCGGTTCAAGATATTGATACTCCGGAGGTAAAGTTTTTGCATGTTAAATGTAAATCCTAAGTAGTCCATTCTGAAACTCATAAAAAAGATATGAGCAAATTTTAAAAGTACTTAAAACATTTGAAAAATCTGAAAATGAAAGCAAAATTAAATACAGACAGGTAACACAGTTACACAATTTGATTTGTTATATTTTCAGTTGACAATTTCTGTAGTTCTCTTGTCTTACAACTTTTTCCCCAGTTTTTAATATTTATCCTCAAAGGATTAAACTGTTTATTACATTTATAGTTTTGATTCTGTAAAAGGATTTTTAAATAATAGAATGAAAGTTTTATTGTGCTGTAGTTGAAATATACATATAAAAGGTAAGATTTTTAACAAATTACATGAATTTATTCATATATGTTAATTTTTTCCAGGTTGATTTATACCAATTACAAGTAAATACACTTAGGAGATACAAAAGACACTTCAAACTACCAACCAGACCAGGACTTAATAAAGCACAACTTGTTGAGGTATTTATGAGTTTTAAACTTTTTAAAACTTTAAAGGACTCTGTTCATACAAAAAAAGGGTCATTAAATGTGAATGAAATTGTTAACAAGAGTGTATAAAATGATATTTTTAATTAGATCAAAGTTAATTTAAAAAATCTATTGCTGAAAAATCTAGTTACCTAGAAATGTCTGCCTCCTGGGAAGTTTCTTTATGTAATGACTACTCAGTGGATTGTGTATAGTTTTCTAAGCATCTCCTAATATTGGCTTTCAAAAATATTGTGTGGGAATTTTTTATTCTCATTCTAGAAACTTAAAATTCCATTTACTCAGTAAATATTTATTGAAATCTAAGTGAGGAACAATAAAATAAATAAATATGCTTTGATGTCTTTATTAGAATTTTTTTAAGTTGCTGATGCAATAGGTCTACAGATAAGTCCCTAACCAGTATTTCCACAACTTTCTGACTTAATCATTTCTGAATTTGTCCTTGTTGATGTTAGTTTGTTTTATTTTAGGCATCCATCTGGAAGATGCAAAGTCTATGTCCAAACTTTTACTTAATAGTTTGCTTTGATATAGGGCTTCAGTGAATTTTTAAAAGTTGAGAGTGAGTGAGAGAGAGAGAGAGAGAGAGAGAGAGAGTGTGTGCGCGCGCGCAGGGTAAAGACAGCCAAGAAATCTGCATGGTATTAAGATGTTTATTAATTTATATAAATATATATTTACACTTTAATCACATTTAAAATAGAAATGGCTTAGCCTACTAGGCAGAATAGAAATTTATAAGTATATAAATCACTCTTCTCATATCCTTTAGCTTGAATTTAGTAATCCCACATCTTCTAAAATGTGCGCATTGGATAAGATAAAAGGTGAATAGAAGGTACAATTCTTTGGCAGAATGCAGTGCTTTTAACATTGTTAAGATCCAATATATTAACTTCTTAGCCAGAATTTTTTCTTCCTTCTTGCCTAGGCAACAAAAATTCAATTTTTCTTTAAATCTGATTTAAAAGATCAAGATTTTTTGGATTGTATAGCACATTACTATGACATAAATATACATATCATCTACCATGATGAAACTTATCAAAATATACAGATACTAATCGAGTGTAAGTACACTGTTTTGAAACAAATGAGAACCAAATATATGGTTAATTTCAATGTACATATTCTTTTAATACATAAAACTTGAAGTTTTTGATAATCTGATCTAAAAAAATTATATTAATTCTAGAGCTATTTCCTTACTTAGAAATGAGAAATAGCTTTAATCCAAATAGCCATCAATATGATAGTTTATTTAGTCAGAAATACAGGTATTTATAAGTAATTTCAGAGTTGGATAATAACCCTCCTTAAGTCTCTGAATTATCATTTGGATAACCTTTCTCTAAGAAGTTTTATCTCCTAGAATCTAGATATGCCTCTGAGCATCCCAGTTTAGTCAATGGTACTTCTGTTGGTAGTTGCAGTACACGTGTTAGATTAGTGAAAAGGCAAGAAAGCAGGTAAACATTCTTCAGTGAACATCCCTCTTTCCCCTCTCATTTTCCATTTGTAATTTTTATTCAGAAAAAACTTTCAAGAAACCTTAACAAAGAATATTGCCAGCCCTGGCCAGGTAGCCCAGTTGGTTAGAGCATGGTCCGGATGCGCTGAGGGTGTGGGTTTGATCCCTGGTCAGGGCACATACAAGAGACAACTAGTGAATGCATAAATAAGTACAACAACAAATCAGTCAGTATTTCTCTATCTCTCCATTCCTCTCTCTCTCTGAAATGAATTACTAAAATTTTTTTTAAAAGAATATTGCCAAAGAATATAAGTTGTAGCAAATGTATTTGTAAGATATTTCATGGTTTGTTTCTGTAGTACCAAATTTGCAACTGCATATTTACCCTTTTTCAATGAGTGGGGTCTAAACCACTACATGATAAATGTGGGCTCTTACATTGTTTTATTTTATTGATATTTAAAGTTTAAAAGTGAAAAATTACCAGTATGCTTTAGGCTTTTACAGGATTTTAACATTTTTTTGTTTTTTAAACACATAGAAAATCCATAATTGAACCAGTTAAGAGTGAATCTGGATTTATACCTTCTTTAAAGCCATTTTTCACCAGTTTTCTTTGGTTTTAATGCTTTCTTAAATAAAACACTGCATGAATTTCAAGTTGCATATTTGCATACTATTTTAATATTTTTATCCAATACCCAGAGTGCTTAAGTATGTTACTGGAGTGGCAAAACCTTTTAAAAATCTCTACTACTAATTTTAAACTTGGTTTGTATTAAGTAAAAGTTAAATCATACACTGTAAGGTGTAGGAGGATTTAACAAAACCCAGTGACAGATTGGATTACTAAGTTTGAACTGTTAAATGTTTAATAATTTATACTTGTGGCTTTTATTGTTTGGTTAGTTAGTTTTTGCTTTTACTTCTGTGCTATACTAGTTTACCATGTTGCAATTGCACTGTGCAATGCTACAGGAAGGACTGGGAAAATTTTTATGGATGTAATGTCTGTTATGGTTTGCAGTAGTATTTCTCTCTAGTTCTCAGTGAATTTGAATGTGACCAAGTCTACTGCACTTTGTCACAAAAAGCAGGTTTTCTAGGTGACTATTTTTGTGAGTGTCAAAGTAAGTATTTATGGTATACTACTGTTGATTAAAATATATATATATATATATATATATAGCAGCAAAAAAAATAATAAAAGTAAAACTTACTTCCTAACCTAGATTCCAGTTATAAAATTTAAAATAAATAAGAAATACACATTCTAATTAATGTATATTTAATTGAGTGGGCTGAAGGGTTCTTTGAAATCATACTGTTTCTTATTTATAACATCTCATTCTTATATGCTTTCACCCTGTTGGCATTTTGTTGAATACAATTTATTTTTAAAAGGAAATAGCTCTTATCACATAGCACTTTTTTCTTTTGATGAAAGTTTTTTTTGTTTTTTTACCTACTTTATGCAATCTGTTAATACCCATAATTTAATTTCCTCAATTTTTTTTTCCTTTGTAGATAGTTGGTTGCCACTTTAGGTCTATTCCAGTGAATGAAAAAGACACCTTAACATATTTCATCTACTCAGTGAAGAATGACAAGAACAAATCAGATCTCAAGGTTGATAGTGGTGTTCACTAGGAGAGATGGAATTGAGACTAAGACTTGGATGTTCAGATGTTAAGACTGTTTACTGTTTTTTCACTTGTAGAAATAAATGTTCCTGTGTATTTTTTCTACAGAGGATTTTCTCTGGTTTTATTTTCTTTGTTTCTGGCTCTAATAATTAGTTGGAAACTCATGTAAAATGAGCTTTCCTAGATTAACAAATATTTTAATAAAGGTTATTACTATTATAGTTGCTTCAGTGTATTTATTTTGTGAAACTTGATTTTTTATTTTAAACTGACTTTCAGGGACCTGTATTAATTGCGATTTTAATATAAAGATCATTTTGTTACCCCCAACCCCACCCTTTTTTTTAATTCCAAGAAATTACCAGGTTATGGAGACATAACAAATGTAGCACATTTGCTTTTTCTGCGATGATCTTATTTGGAATTAAGGATATCCTAAATAACATTATTTTGTTAAGTGCTCTTTAGTGCTAACAAGTTTAAAAAAGAGAGTTCCATTAGGATGCAACTTTATTTCCTTTTTTAAAAAAAATTATTATTTCTTGATGAAGTATCAGGAAGAGAAAATAATTTAATTTAATGCCTACCTCCTTCCAAAGAAGACTTAATATGCCAGCAAAGGTAAGCACAGTGCTGAAAGTTCAGATAAGAACATAGAATTAGTTATAGCTGTTTCTTTAAATTTTGATTTAACGTAAAAGGTGCTTATATGACGTAAGTATAGAAAGAACTTCTGCAATACCCCATAATTTTCAGTCATGTCCTGTACTGTTTACATTGCCAATTAATAAACTGGATACCTAGAAGTTTAACAAGATCTTTAAATTTCGGTTATACATAGCTGTGCTTAATACTTTATTTCCTTCTACAGTTCATTCTCTGTCAGTTTTCTACTGAATATATTTAACTTCTGCTTTTTCTGATACTGTATTGCTTACCCAAGTTATTATAACTACAAATCAGATTTACGTCTTGTACATGAAAACAGCTTCAGAGAAGTGTTCTGAGATTGTGCTGCAGATTTTAGGCTGGAAATGGATGACACCGGTATTGTAGCTCAGGGATTCTCAGAGTTGACATTTAGGTCTGATAATTCCTTACTGTGAGAGGCTGTCCTGTGTGTTATAGATTTAGCAGCATCATTGGAGTCCACACACGAGTACCAGTAGCACTCTGAAGATTCACAATAAAAAATCTGTCAACATTGCCAAACATACCTTGGGGGGACAAAGTCATCCCTGATTAAGAACCACTGGTGTAGCTGATTTTAAGTACTGTTAATTACAAGGTGAGTATTTTTAAGTGTTCTCAAAGTATTAACAGAAAACATGGTGAAAAAGCTACTGGACTTTGTTTTTGCTGTGACCATTTAAAGATTTACTTGTTTATTGATGAGCAGAGGCTGTGATAATTGGTGTTACATAATTCTCTAATATCCAGCATCCCAGAAATCTCTGTGAGACCTTTTTTCTTAGCTATATGAAAACGAACCCCATAGCATGAACATATGGTAGTTTATTTGAATGAAGTATTTACTTGCAAATTTTATATTTTTACCTGAACCTACGAAGACTTAATGTTTTAATAAAGCTTCACTCTTAGGCTTACTTTTTCCTATTAAAAATACTCCAGCCTTGTGGAAAGAAGCTTGAAATTATTTGCTTATATTAAAGTATCTGTTTGTGACTATAATCTTGGACTAGCAATGTTAGTTTTACATAGGTAATTATTTACATAAAATATAGTTGGATAAAGTGAGTAAGAGTTCTAGGTGTTGATTATCAAATGAAATTAAACATAGCAATTTAAAATGTGAAAAATTGAGAACTTAAGAACCTCATCAAAGC